GGGAAGTTCAACACGGTCCAACACCACCAGACTATGTCTGCTGAGGTGAACCGGCTATAGGGTCATGTAGGGTGACCAGATAACAAGTGTGAAAAATCGGGACGGGGTGGGGGGTAATAGGAGCCCATATAAGAAAAAGCCCCAAATATCGGGACTGTCCCTATAAAATCGGGACATCTGGTCACCCTAGGTCATAGGGACAAGCAATGGAAGGGCCCCTGGCAGGGGAAAAGACTGACTTGCTGGGACTAGGCCAGTGGTTTAAGATTTCCACAGGAGTCCGCACCTCCACTCAAAACTTTTTAGGGGGCTGCAAATGAAAAAAGGTTGAAGAACACTGGACTAGGCTCTGCAGTCAGACCTTGTGTGGCTGGATCAGTGGCTAAAGTGATTGCTCGGCCCTAGCGGGAATGAAGCTACTGCCTAATGCTCCTTCACAGCCCCCAGGCCGGGTTATCCATACCGGCCTGCCTTGTCGGCAGACCAACAGTTGCTCACACAGCTGAGCCCTACCCTGCTGCTACGGGAAGTTTTTCGAGGTTCCTTTAGCTCAACTGTGTTGAGCAGCTGTAGGTGTGGGGGGCAGTTGGAGGATTTGCTGTTTAATGGCAATGGAATTCATCCCACCCTTAGCTGGGGGGCTCCCAGGGGCTGGCCAGACAGCTCCAGCAGGCATGGGCAACAAACAGCTTTAAATGGGAAAAACACACTGAGTCACTCTCACACCGAACTGTCCTTGCATCCTAACCCGAGCCACACGCAGCACATTGTCATATACCCCGGGGCTGGCAACGTTCTGGATTTTTTAATACAAACCCCCAAAGGAAGTTACCCCCCCCCCCAGCTTGAACCCCTTATCCTCTAGCTCCTGCTGACTGGAAAAGCAGAGCACACAGTCTTTACTCGAGCTAGTGTGCTAAAGATAAGGGTGTGGACATTGCAGCTCCAGGAGAAACTCAGGCTAGCCCGGGGAGCTCAGACAAAGCTAGCCCGAGCCAGGCGCGCTCCCAAGGGCAGTGTAGACATACCCTGTGAAGACTCCTGTGTGATCTCTGGAGTTGCTCACCAGTAGCATGCCAGTCCCAGAGCCATCAAAACATTTCTGACCAAAACCCCACTCCAGGCTGAAAAATACCCATACAACCACATAGCCAGGTGCGCCTTAAAACTCACGTCCTTCCTGAGGGGTCAAAGCCACACCTGGCCCCAGCCTGTTCGTTTTACATGAGTACCCGTGCGTAAGGTACCAAGATTTGGCCCAACGTCAGCTGATGTTGTTCATGTGTTACTGGGGGTGACAGGAGCTGCTCTGGTGAGAACAGAGACCAGCTGAGTGCAGTGGGCTGTGTTCAGAGTTGAAATGCAGTGACCCTGCACTCAGCCCTACAGGGGAAGGAAATTCCCCCTTTCCTAGTTTCACAGCAGCGCAGCTCAAAGAAGTGGGACTTTAGCCCCCTTCCCGGCCAGCCCCCTCATGAGAGAGTCCTGCAGGCGGCTGAGTCCCTTGGGTGCAGCGTCCTTTGGCCGCAATCAAGGGCGGGCCAGCGGTTCCCCAGGCGGGCACCTGGGGATTTAAAGGGCAATTCCCTCGCTCTGTGCCAAGCGCTGCCCACCTCTGCCAGGCAAACCCACACCTGCCTCTTCCTAAGGGATTCACCAGCCCCGCCTCGGCCCAGGTGAGCGGTGCAGCCCCCCACACGGCTCCGGGGGGGCAATGCGAGAGCCCAGCCCTGCCCAAGCGGAGCCCAGTGCGTCCACACGGGCACAAGGGAAGAGTCCCGGGGGATTGGCGCCGCCTTATTTAGCGTCTTGATCGCTGCACCCCCCGCCCCCCGCTAACCGCCCCCCAGTCCCCGATCGCTGGCGCCCCCGCCCCCTGGCCCGGCCGGACCGCGGAGGGGCGGCAGAGCCGGTACCTGTGCTCCGGCGAGGGGCGCTGCGGCCGGCGGGCGATGGGAGCAGCGCGGCGGGGAGTCTCCGGCGGAGGCGAGCGAGGACCGGGACTGAGGTCCCGCGCCCGGCCGGGGGAGGAAGCAGCCTGCAGCCCCCGCGGGGCGGCGGCTTCGGGCGCTGCGGCTGCACCGGCGGCTCCGCAGCGGGCTGGGGGCTCCGCGCCCGGCTCTGCACCGCGCACTCCCGCTGCCCGCCCTGGGGCAGCTCGGAGCGTCTCGGCTTCACCTGCGCTGTCCGGGAGCCGCCCGGGAGTGCGAGTCCTTCCCCCCCCCCCAGCGCGGCGGCCGGGCGGGGCTTGGAAAGCCCAACTCACCGGGGAACTAACCGCCCCGACTGTCCGCTCCCCCCATTGCCAAACAAGCCGGGCCTGGGAACCCAACACGGTGTGACCGGATCCCGGGCTGGGGCTGGGGGGCGCTGGGCACCCGACTCTCTCCGCCCCTTGCAACAAGCAACTCACCAGCCAAAAACAAGCCCAATTTCTGTGTTTTTGTCTTCAGGGGGTTGGCGTGTCTGAAGGACAGGCGGGACTCGGAGCTGGCTGGTTGCCTGCCACCCTGAGCCCTCAGCAGCTCCCACTGCACGGAGAGACTGTCACATACACAGGCACTGTCACACCTCCTACACACACACACACACACACACACACACACACACAGGCACCGTCCTACCCAAACACCCTACACACACACACAGGCACTCTCATACCCAAACACCCTACACACACACTCCTACCCAAACACCCTACACACACACACACACACACAGGGACTCTCCTACCCAAACACCCTACACACACACACAGGCACTCTCAGATGACCCCTTGTCACGGAGTCCCCGGGTGATGCTCTGGAACTGCTCCCCACAAAGCCAGTCAGGACTTTGGGGAGCCTCCTCTCCCTTGGAGCAGACTGTCTTCAGGGCAAGAAGCTCACATGGCCCTTCCTGGATCTGCCCTTGGAGCATTCAGCATATGCCCCTCCGTGTGCTTCCCATAGCGAGTCCGCCCAGGCGGGGTTCTGGGGAAGCCAGAGGGTCCTGCACGCACCCCCACTTCATCACACCCCTATACACAGACACACAACTGGCACCCTTACATCCCTACACACAGAGCCATCCTCAGACCCCTACACGCACACAGAGGCACCCCTATACATGCACACACCTTACACCCCCCTACACACACAGGCACCCTCAGACCCCTACACACATGCCAGAGAGACACTGACGGTACCTCATATCTCTCCCTCCCCAGTATTCACCGTCCCCTGAGGTTTAATGCACTAGTGTTTAATGCACTGCTTATCATTACTGAAATGGATGGCTTGATAACTGCACCTTGGTCTGAGGCCCAGGCAAGAGGGGAAGGAGAGGACGGCTCTGTTAACAAGTCAGTGAGAAGTATAGAAAGGATGGGAATTAATATGCAAATTACTAATATTTTTACAGATTGATTGGTTCTTGTCTAGCTTCCCACCTGCCTCAGATAAGCAACAGCTAGAACAAAATCGAAAATCCACAGCGTCCTTATTGGCCTTGTCCACACCAAGGTCCTGCTGGTGTTAAACCATAGCTGCTCTGGCTGGGGGTCATCCATTTTTAAGGCTATTCGGTGTATGTCTGCACTGCAGTGTCAGCCCAGGGCTAGTAGAACTTGAATTAATAGACCCTGAGTTTGTTAACCTAGGGCTTGAGCGTCTACGCTCCTTTGTAACCACAGGTTAGGAACTGTTGAATCCTGGGTCGCTACCTGGGGCTCCAGTGTCTACGTATGCAGGCCCAAGTCCAGTCACCCATATGCCAGGCTTCCTTGTGCCCTCCCCAGACGTGGCCCTTTGTTCGTGGTGCAGTGAGGGAAAACTTCAACTGTCCAGAGGGCAAAGAAAGTCGGCCTGTGGGATCATGGGATACTTTTGGCAGACTCCCAGTCCAGTGGGGATGTGTCTACATTGTAAAGCGATAGGGCTTGACCCTTGGTCCCAGCTTCACTCAGACTCAGACCCTCCACCCGCATGGGGCCTGCAGATCCTGGGTCCAAGCACTAGGGTAGCGTGATGTGTGTGGAGAGTGAAGGGAGGTGAGGCTTGAGCCTGAGTTCAAACCGAGAGTTTGGTCCTGTGTAAACTGTGTTATAACCCAGTTAAAAGACACTCCCCCTTCCCCCTGCCCCCGGCTGTAGCCTGGGCTTGTACATCCTGGGGAAGGGACGGTATTGTAGCTCTCCAGCACCTTTGGGCCTGCCACATGGAGCTCCATGGAGGATTGCCCGCTTTCTCTACTAGTGCCAGGCCACTTGACTCCATCTGGGAGTATGTCAGCTGCCAGCTCCCGTTCTCTGCTGGGTTCCTGTCCAGACTGAGGTATTCAGGCTTCATCTGCCCCATTTTTGTCCAAGATTCTGCTTTCTTCTGGCACCACATAATACAGGTGTGATGCACCGGAGCCGTGGGAAGAGACTTAACTTCATTTCCTGTCACAGGGCAGAGGGCAGTAGCCACCGACTTCAGTGGTTCCTGTACGTTCACCTGCTCTCTTGGAAAGAGAGAGAAGAGAAAAAAGTCAGGTGTGTGGGTAGCCAGGGTGGGTGAGGTCATATCTTTGATTGGGCCGGGGAGGCAGAGAGAGAGAGGTCTGGTTAGCTATTTAACTGTCTGAGTTAACCATGGCCCCAGCCAACCCTTCTCTAATGTGGTGGTTTGGCTATAATAGCTGTATGGGGCTGCTGTCTGAGCGGCTCTTTCTTCCGCACCTTGGGGTGTGCATGCCTAGTGCACTTGGCCAGACACCCTTCACCAGCAGCACCTGTTTGGCTGGCGCATGCACCCGAAATGTCTTTGTACCCACCCGCTCTGTGGGAGCTGGCAGCAAAGTTTGCTTTTCCTTGCTTATCAGCAGTTTCTCCTTGTGTCAACAGTAGTTAGCACAGTCGTTAGTCTGTGTTGTATAATGTTTCCTTTGTTCTCCTCTCTAGGAAGTCCTTGTGGAGACTCTGGTACCAGCATAAGTCCCCAGGTTTTAAAAACTGCCCCTCTTGCCAGGCAGGCCTACGAGATGCCTCCTCTGTCAGGCTGTGAGTTTGGTGTGGTGCTCCTGGTAATCGTGAATTTGACTAGAACCCAGGACCCCTACAGTGGCGACGCCTCTCCCTCCGGGCACTGCGACCTGGCCCACGTGGTCACAGCACCACTCAAGTTTTGTGCATCCGCCCTGCTGTAAATGGCGGGGTGGATGTGTCAAACCCAGCATGCTAGGTCTCAATGCCAAACGAATCTGGCCCTCCACCCCCATTTCCGTCCATGGAGGGGTGGATTTGCCAACGTGGAGTGGCACTGCAACCACGAGGGCCAGCTTGCAACACCTGGAGTGGGGACCCCGGCCCAGCCCCGTGGGATGGGGCAGCCGCTGCAGCGTGGGCTCACTAGCCAACCCTTCCTCCTTTTTTCACACCTCTGCCATTAAATGTATTACAATTATCTGTGAATACAAAGTGTAGCCTTACTCATCTGTTTAGGTGAATGGCATGGTAGGGACAAATGCAGTATCGGCGAGTCCTTCTCAAGGGTATGTCTCCACTGCAATCAGAGGTGGGAGTGCAGCAGATGGAGCATTGATCTAATTATTTGAAGAATAGCAGGAGTAAAGCCACAGCAAGTTGGGCAGCAGCACGGGCTGTATAACCCTGCCCGGGATCTGGCTACGTACGAGAGTAGCTAGTCCCCAAGAGGAGGCAAGGTAAACCTCAACAGCACCATAGTTAGCCCTCCATTCAACCTGACTCCTCCAGAAAGTGGCCCAAATTTCCACGAAGAAAGCCTTCCACTTTGGCATGAACATATTCGACCCATCAGTCTCAAGGCAGCCAATTTGACTGCTCCACACCAGTTATTCTGGATCTTCCCAACCCATCCCCTCCCTTTGGGAACTTGTCGTACCACTTCCCTGCTGCCTGGAACTCCATAACCACTGGTCAGTGGGTTCTAGAGACGATGGAACAGGGATACACCAGTTCTTGCCCTACCCACAGCATCCTCCCCTGTTCCTATTCAGGGACCTCCTCACAGAATTGTACTGCTTCAGGAGCTGCAGTTTCTTCTAGCTCTTGGAGTAACAGGAGGGGGGGTCCTTTATACCGTAGGGAAGTGAGTTCTACTCCTGATCTTTTCACCCCAAATGAGAGGGGGTTGAGGCTATCCTAGACTTAAGGAAATTGAACATCTTCACCAATAAGCAAAAATTCAGGATGGTGTCCCCTGCCTCCATTTTCCCATCCTTAGATCCCAACGATTGGTACATTGACCAACAGGATTCCTATTTTGATGCCGTTATCCACCCAAGCCACAGAAAAGTACTTCAGGTTTTTAGTATGGGACCACCACTGCCTCTCATCAGCCCCACGAAGCCTTACAAACTGCCTGGGAGAGGTAGCAGCATGTGTCCAATGACTCAGGTATTCCCACCTCTGGACGATTGGTTGATTTGTGGTCGCATCAAGTGACGAACCGCATCTATCAGAGCCAGTCCCTGTTTGCACGGGTGGGTCTGAAAATAAACCAGGACAAACGGATACTGTTCCCTGTGCGAAGAACTGAGTTCATTGGGGCCATTCTCGATTCTACAGCTGCAGCCACTGGAAAGGTTTCACCAATCTAGAAGTTCAACCGAGAACCACAGGGAGCGCTTGTCTGAGGTTGCTGCTACCCATGGCATCCAGCATGTATGTGACTCAGTGTGTCACATGTCACCTGAGGTGCATGCAAAGCTGGGTGATGTCTGCATATCAGTCAAACAATCATGTCTGGACATGCTGATCTCCTTACCTGCTCCAATCGTATCATTGCTACATTGGTGGAGGAGTCTGGAAAACATCTGCACAGTGGGGTCTGCGGTTCCCCTTCTCTTCCATCAAAGGTGTGAGTGATGGACACATCCACTCTGGGCTTGGGAGCTCATCTAGATAGCATACAGACTCAGGGTCTCTGGTCCAGCCAAGAATCAGCTCTCCAAAAAAACATTTTGGAGCTGAGGGCCGTTCTTTATGCCTGTGAAGTTTTCCTACCACCTATCAAAGGCCTTCTCAGTCCAAGTAATGACAGACCATACAACTGCTATGTTTTACCTCAATATACAAGGCGGGCTGAGTTCCAGCCCATTATCCTCCGGCACTTCTGCATCTGGAATGACATCACCCTCACGGCATCTCATCTTCTCAGAGTGCAGAATGTTCTAGCAGGTCACCTGTGCAGAAGTCCATCCATGCCCATGAACAGACTCTGACGTACAAAATAGTTAAGATGATTTTCAATAAAG